TTGACCTTGTGCAGCTCCATTATTTCGGCGTCGACAGGCGCCAGGGTGGTAGAAGAAATAGTTTAAGGAAGCGCTTGAAGGGGTCGGTGCTGAAGGTAGCGGATAACATTCTTGTCCATAATGCAGAATAAGGATGAGCAGGAGCCGAGCCAGTGACACTAATAGAAAGATCAATCCTTAATGTATAAATGCTCACATTACCGGTTAGCCCTCTTCAGGTAATAGGCGAATACTTGGGTTCAAAAAAGTATGACAGAACTTTCCCGCCAACCTAATATTAACACATTCGAGGCGAAGGCCATTTCGCCCAGAACTCACGTTCGTCGTTGTTTTTGGCATATTTTTACGATTTTTTCTTCGTTTTGATGTGTTAATTGTGTGAATGTATTTTAGTAGAATATCAGTCCCAAAAAGAACAAAAAACTATGCGCGTGTTTTCGCAATACTGTACGAATGACCGAAAAGAGGGGTTTCCGCGTGTACTCCCGGGAGTACACGCCGCCTCGAACGTGTTAAAGACAATTCCCGCGATCAAGTGTTACGGGTAGTAGGTGCTCATCATGAACCAGTAGCCCATAAGTAACCCCCAGTAGAGAAAGAAGCGAAAAAAAACTTGGGAACACTCAGAATAGGAAATCACTCTACGACGTTCCAAGCAACGCTATGTAAACACGCAATTCCGCTTGTAAGCCGTTGTCTTGCAGAGTGAAAGTAATCGTGGTTGCAATAATCACGCGTCTCTAGCTTCTTTATCTTGCCGTTTCGAGTGACGAAAAAGGTATCCTCCCTGCGAATGGGAGGATACATGATCCCAAATGCACAGAGGCATTTTGCGGACCACTCGATCGCAGGAACTGTCTTTAGAGACAAAACACACTCAGCTGCTATGTGAATTCTTGCCGTATGCATGGACCCGTAGCTGCAGGAGCGTACCACTTTCTCCCCCTGGAATTCATGGGAACGGAGCTGGAGGTTGTAATGCTGTTTTGGACTCCACGCGCTATCCACATGCCGGGATGTGATTCGCTGCCAAGGTAGCAACTCAGCGTCAAAACGCCAAGTGTAGAGAGCAACCAGACTTAGAACAGTAAGGGCAGTAGCATCCCTCACTATACTTGAACGTAGAGCCGTGTGGCATGTTGTGTGCGCCGATTTGCCGGTAAGTGTAGCCCCAAACGGCATATGACAGAACACCTCCCGCGCACAGCGGAGAAAAGTGGCGCGCTACTGCAGCTGCAGACCCACTCCTCTCGCACAAGCAGGGACCGGGACGCACGAAGAAAAGTGTACGGCACTATTCAACTACACTACCCCAGTTTTGCGAAAACAGGTCGGATACTGATCGACTTTTCTACGGGAGCAGATTTGGGATGTAGAGGTAATTCAACCTCGTGAACACGAATATCACATCCACTTGGCCTGAAAGTGCCTGGCGCCCGCGCCACAGGCGCCAGTGATTTAGGGCATTTTGGCGCCGGCGCCTGTGGCGCGGGCGCCGAGCGGTTTCAGGCCGAGCGGATGTGATATTCGTGTTCAGGAGGTCGAACTACCCCTGGGCACAAGTTTTCAGCGGATTTGGTGATCTAGGGTACTTTGGCGCAGTTTCGGGAGGAGCGGATGTGATATTCGTGTTCAGGAGGTCGAATTACCCCTAGAACCCAACTTTCAGCCAAATCACCCCCGTAGAAAAAAGTCGATCAAGATCCGGCCCGTTTTCGGAAAATTGGGGTAGTAATAGTTGAACAGTGCCAAGTGTACATTTTGCCAGTAAGAGAAAGAGAGTGACAGGGGCTAAATGGGTGTGATGGGTTTTAACCCGTCGAAGTAAATTCCTAAGGGTCACGGCAAGAAGCTACCCTCCGAATGATGCACCTTTTTCTCCTCTTCCAATTTCAGGCTGTGTGCTCAAAAAAATGAGCAGAAGAAACCGTAAAGAAAGAATCAAACAAGTTCCAGTTCATTTGTAACAATCGAAAAGTTTGTGGTGAAGCGGTAGACGCAGAGACACTGAGCCGCGGCTCAGCGACCACGCAATAACACACACACAGGGACGAACAAGCATATCACAACACCTCGCCATACACTCATAGAGGGATCTGCGGGTATGAGTGCAGGCGGCCTAAAGGAACGCGACTGGCCCAAGCGCGACTCTTTAGCGCCCTTACTACATGCCAAACTGACTATACTCTGGGTGGCTACAGTACTCTGGGCATGCAGACTGTAAAGCAGAGAGATTCTATTTAGTAGGCAGTCGTGGAAAGTATATCCAACAATACTTGCGTACGCAGTCAATAGTCAGACAATAAAGCAAAAATATAAATTATGTCACAATAATGTGCAAAGGCTAACCTTGTCGATCGTATTCTCCAGCTGAGCTTTTTGCTTCGTCTGATATTCTTTCAACTCGTCCAGCTCTTTAGCTAGCCGCTCATGCAATAACCGAGCTTCCTCTTCCTGCCATGATTCCAACTTCCCCTAAAAACAGCCGAAGACATAT